GCTCAGATGGCATCTCCGGGTAACAGGCCATTCCTGAGACGTCTTCCAGCCCACTACCTGTGGTCAGCGTTAACCAGTTTTGGAGCCTGCGCACCCTGCCCTCCTTTACCACCTGATGAACTAAGATGCTGATCTAAGACAAGACCCAGACTCAAACCAAGAGGAAACAGCAGAATACACCTGTGCAGAAGTCGCGGCATCCATTTTGGAATACACAGACTCCATCTTAGAAAGAGACCACGCACACATCTAGCCTGAAGGAGCTGAGGGTTATTGTTAGGAATTTGTCGCAGCCTTGTTCCACTTCCTGACTTTTGCAAAAGGTTCAAGGTTTTATGAGTAACCTGCCTGCATAAGGTCTTTTGAAATCATGTACGCCACAGCCTTAAAACAATTACAAAAACCCTTCACCTGTAAGGCTCGGGAGACACCCATGGCATTGCCTCTGGCCCCATGTGTCTCCACCTGGCAAGGTTACCATCCTCTTATTAAATTTCTCTCTGAGCTACAGCTGACTTTCTAGTCATTATTTTGAACTTGACCTAAAACAAGCTCACAGCACCGAGAGGAGACTGGAGACTCCGTGTCTCTCTCCACTGTCCCACCTGAGTTGGAGAAGAGGGAGGAACACAGAGGCCTGGGGTACAAGGCCTGAGACAGCTCTCGGTGAGGCAGCCTTAACTGTCCCTTGGCCCCTTCCACTTCTGTCATTCAAAGACAGAGGGAGAAAACCTGACAAGCAGGGTGTTAGAGGTGTGCGGTCACCCCACACCCAGAAAAGGGCTATAGCAGATCCTTGCACACAGAGGCTGATTCCAAGTGTAGCGTGAGTGTGTGAGTGTGCAAGAGTGAGTGTGCGGGAGTGTGCGAGTGTGAGAGTGAGTGTGCGAGAGTGAGTGTGAGTGTATGAGTATGTGAGTGTGAATGAGAGTGTGTGAGTGTATGAGTATGTGAGAGTGTGAGTGTGTGAGAGTATGAGTGTGTGGGTGTGCGCGAGTGTGTGGGTGAGAGTGTGTGGGTGTGTTGGAGTGTGGGAGTGTGCGCGTGCTGGCACAGTGGGGTCTGCAGCCACGCAGCATCCGAAGAACCAGAGGAAGCCTCTCACTGGAGGCTCTGGGTTTCGAGTCGGACTGGGCCTCTGCCTGCTGAGTGTCGGTTCTGAGCCAACCCTAGGAGCCGAGGAGTCTGATTCCGGCACCCTCCTCGGCTGACCCAGCCTGAGAGCGGAGTCCAGCTCGACCAGCCGGTTCTCAGGGCCGAGCACAGCCCCAAGTCATGCAGGAAGTGCTGTCATGAGCAAAGGTGTCACGTGTGCTGGGACTGCCCGTCCAGGCTGCTTCGCCATCACTGAGGGTCACCGCATGGCCACAGGAGGACAGGAGGCTCCAGCCCGCACCAAGAGGAGAAGGCCACAAGGCAGCCAGTTCCCTGGGGCCCAGAGCCGCTCTGGGCAGTAACACAAGCTGCCTCCAGTCAGGCGTAAACTAGTCAGGTCGGTCGACTTTGAAAGGTCTGGAAAGCTACCTCTGCTTAAATAGGCCAGAGGGACAGAGTGCCCCTCTTGCCTCAGCTCACCTAGAGATGGCTCTAAAAGGAGCCAGGGTCACAAAGCTGACTCCAGCTTCCTGCCACGTGGTGTCTGCCCTACTGCCCTATACGCAGCAGGAACAGCACCCGCTTGCCCACCTCACCCAGGTACGGCGTGCTGCCCGACAGGGAGCACAGTCACCTCAGGACATGTCCAGGAAGTGTGCTGACAGATGCCCCCGCAGCCCCTCACCCTGACCCACCGGCCTCACCATCTACACAGCAAAGAAAACACAGGCAGAAGGGCCTGGTCTGCGTCTTGTCTCAGGGAGGCTTTGTCTCTGCACAGAAGACAGGCTTCAGTCACCAGCCCCACACGCCCCTAGTGGGCTTTCCTGACCTCTCCGAGGTCTCACAGAAGGAGATGTGGCTGCGACAAAAGTGCTTAGGCTCATGAGCAGCCGGGACAGAGAACAGCAAAGCCCTGGGTGCAGGAGCATGTGGGGGAGGGGTCCCCAGGGTGCAAGCAAAGTGAGAACAAAATCCACGCCAAGTTGGCCTGCTTGTCGTCATCACCATGAGCCAGTGTCTCCGAACAATGGCAATGACAGAAGATGCCTCCCCCAGGAGACCGCTCCCACACCCCCACCCCTAGGCCTTCACTGGTGACAGCCATGCAAGGTCATGTTACTAATTGTAACAGTAACAATCAGTAAACAGCTGTAACTCACTGAGTGTGTCCTGTCTTCCATGGCCAGGGGAGGGCTGAGTGCTTGTCTGTCCATGTCTCTGTCTCACACACACACCAACACCCTGACCCTCACATGGCTCTGTGAGGCAGACATTAGTATTCCCATCCTCTTGACAAGGAAACTGAGGCCCAAGGAGGTGACATAAATTGCTGACAGTAACACAGGGCCTCCAGGCTGCATTCTCCTAGCCTGGTGCCCCCAGAGCTGTGATACCACGATCCTGTCCCAGGGGCAGGCAGCTCAGGCCTGTGAGGCCAACCACTCTGTCTCCGCTTGTCTTCACCCACAGAAGGTACCAGGAGAGCGTCACCCTGGACAAACGTGTACCCCCAGACCTCAGAGGTGTGCACACCCAGGTCAGGGAGGATGCAGCCCCGCAACCCGGAAGCCCCATGAACTCAAGCAACGGGTCGCATCAGGCACTGAACAGCCTCGTCATTGCCAGACAACACGGGCCAAGTTCATTTTCTTTGTAGAGGGATCACAGTTCACAGAAAACTGAAAAAGTCAAGCATGACCTGCATATATTTGAGAATCTCTTGGTACTTGACGAAGGGGTGTGTCGTGGTGCATACCCAGTGGGATAATGGAGTCTTCCCACCAGGTTAATAACTGGCGCACCCCAGAGAGCGGGGCGGCCGGCACAGCATTTGAGGCCTTCCCTGCAGCTCTGTCCTCAGATGGGACATGAACTCGCCCTCCTCAAGGACTGCTTCCAGCTACCCCCACGGCACCCCCAGACCTGCCCTCACTGCATCCCCAGACATGCTCCCCACTGCACCCCTAGATGCATCCAGTCTCCTCTGCGGACTGTGGCAAAGCTACCCTGCGCAATCGTGTATGTTCCAGCCACACAGGCCTCCTCTGTGACCTTCACTACTTTCTCCCCTCACTGCTCTGAAGTCCCCACGTTGTCTCAGGCAGCAAGGCCATTGTCTGGCGTCTGGTGCCCTCCGTTAAAGCTGGAGTGCACAGGCGTCTGCACACCACAGGATGGTGGCCAAAGTGCTGGACCCGACCGATCAAAAGGATGAATCTGGCCTAAATTCTGCAAGAATCTAACAGAGTCTCGGGTGCTACAAAGGTCACCGTCCTCGGTGCTGCCGAAAGACTGAGGGTTCAAGTCTCCTGGAGGCACCTTGACAGGAACACAGTACAGGCAGTCCCCAGATTACAAAACGAGAGCCGTTCTGAACCATCTACATAGTGTTCATAGGTCACTTAGAACAGTACACGGTTCTTATTTGGCCTGACTTTAGAGCTAGAAACGGCTGGAAACCTTTCCCACATTTAAAAGCTGCTCCTGCAGCAAGTGAGGTGGCTGTGAGGGAGAATGTGTTCCCACAGGGTTGATTCAGTGGGTTCAAAGTGAGGGCAAACTTACGTAACATCGAAGGGCAAGCAGGAGCGGGTCCTGAAGTTGGGTGTTCATAACCCAGGGCCTTAGTGTAGCAGCCGCCAAGAAACGCCTGCCAATGTCCTGGGGCCAGGACAAGCCACAGGTGTGCCCTTGCCACTTCCCAGACAGTAAAGGTGGTAACAGTGGCTTTCTGAGAAAGCCTTCAGGGGACAGGACAAAGGCTCCACACCCCTCCCCTGCATGGGCCTGTGCCCCGATCAGTGTGCCCACACCACACCCCGTCCTGCCATGATGGCGTCCAGGTCCCCGTGCCCACCCCTCACCCCTTCCTTGCTGTGACAGTGTCCAGGTCTCCATGCCCACCCCACACCTCTCACCTGCCGTGATGGTGTCCATATCCCTGTGACCACCCCATACCCCCTCACCAGCAATGACAGCACCCATGGCCCCATGACCACTCTGCACCCACTCACCTGCTGTCATGGTGTCCACGTCCCTGGAGGCCAGCTCTTCCACGTCTGACCTCTTCCGCAGCTCAAACCTCCGGGATAGGCCTTCCCGGGGTTTCCAGAGCTCCTGGATCAGGAGGGGCTTCTCGTTGTCCCCAAACACACGGAAGCACTCGGCCTGCCAGCGATGTCCAGCACCGCCAGCCCGCCCCACCGCGTCACAGAGCACATACTGGCTGGCACACTCGGGCTTCAAGGCGTAGCGCTCCAACGCTGCCTTCACCAGCTCCCGGGCGCTGGAGGAGGCCGTGGCCAAGACGCTCTTGTAGTGGGTGCCTGTGCAGACGCTGTCCCCAAACACCTTCAGGACGCCTGGGGCGGAGAGCTGGGTAGATAGCTCGGCAGGGTCGTCGATGGCGCCCGGGCCGGAGAGGGGGGACCCCAGGTCGCGGTGCTTGTAGCTGAGCGTCCGTGACAGCATACCGGACAGCAGCTGGCTCTGCCGCTTCAGCTTGCTCTTGGTGGGCGGAGACATGATGAAGTGCGTCCCATAGAACATGGTGGGGCTGTCTTCATGGGCCAGGGCTGCCGGCTTCAGCTCAAGGAGACAGACCACATCCTGGGAGGAACAGGAAGAGGGTGAGTCGGCCACCATAATGCATCGTGATCAAATAAGGCCCCAGGGTCCTGGTGGGCTCCAGGTCATTTGGGGCCGGCCACAGCCAACTGCACCCCCGGGGTAGAGGGTGTGCCCAAGCCTGCAAGGCAGCAGGAGACGGGAAGGTTTCCACCAGCAGAGGCACATGGGGCACAGAAGGCGAGACGCACTGTGCTGTGGGCTCAGGCTTCCACGAAGAGCTCGGTGCCACGTGCCACACATCGCAGGCACCCAAGCTTTGACAGGACTGGCTCCATCAAAGGTGACAAGCATGGGAGGCAGAGCCCCTCCCTCCGCAGATTCAGCCTCTCCACACCACCTTCTAGAACGTGGAGGTCGATCACCAGCAAAAGTGGAGCCTAGAAGAGAGGCTACACCTCAGAGCGGCTGTCCGTCCACTGAGCAATGAGCGACCAGACACGCAAGACCCAAACCCCGAAATGCTACTCGTCGATGAGCAGGAGAAAGACTTCATCCTGGCTTGAAGGGGACGCTTGTCCGAGTGTCAGACAAGCACGGTGCATACAAAGGGCCCGCAGAGCGGGAAGCACGCCTGGAATGCGTGCATTCCACCCACTGCCAGGCCTGGGGTGGAGGCCCCTCCTGGCCAGAGCGAGGCCAACGGCTGGGGGAACCAGCAGACCGCCCCGGGGAGCCGTGACATGCCATAAGCCCCCGTGCGCTTAGTGCTCCAAGCAGCTTAGACTTCTCCAGACTACTTACCAGCCTCCCTCACAGACCTGAGGTGTCAAGGGCACAGCAGAGGCAGCCGACAGGCTCCTTACACAGCCGGATGTTGAGAGACCGCGTCACAGACCAAAGAGAACAGCTTACTTCCTAGAAGGTTCTGGAAGCAGCGACCCAGGACCTGCTGCCTGACTGATGTCACCTCAACAGGGCTGAAGTCAGTGAGTATATGCCTCAGCTGGGCTCACCCAGTTCTACAGGCCACAGACAAGGCTTCAGGAAGTGGAGGTGTCTGCGTGACAAGGGTGCCCCCAAAAGAAGGGCACCTGCTGATCCTGAGGGGACTAACAGGGAAGTGATCTTGAAGGTGACACTGAGCGTGTTTCTCCCAGCTGTCCACCGGGCTCCAGTTGTGGCCTCCAACTCACCTGGGTGCACAAGTACCATACAATCTCACAGGACCTTGAACTCATCACAGCCTACACCAAAGGCTGGGTTCTGGACCCTGCCATCTGCCCTATGTGGGGCGGGTGTGGGGTGTGGTGACACATCGGTTCCTGTAGCCCACTGCCACTGTGTACAACTGCAAAGCCTTCTACAAGGTCTTGGCTTTCTGAAGGCCTGACTTATAAAGAGTCACAGATGCTCTAGTATTGGCTGTAAACAAAATGATCGCAGGTTTTCCCTGGAGTCACTGAGTAAAACCTAGACAGGAGTAAATAACTCAGAGGCCTTGATGCTTCTCATCTGAGGAATGTGTTAAAGTGTCCTTGTCCCCTCCTGAGAAACCTGAACGCTGGCTCTCACCCTCCTCACAAACTGGGCAAAGACCCAGAGTTACAAGAGTGTCACCACACGGCACTCACGTGACAAACACGTAGCATCAGTGTGCCACCCACAGTGTCTCCACACGGCACTCCTGTGACTAACATGTGCTCTGCCCCAGCATGCCACCCCACAGCTCTGTGTCACCCGACGCCAGGAGGAGCCCTGTGGTCAGTTTTCAGGGAGCATCTCGAGTCCGAGAGCAGCCTCTCAAGCCAGGTACTGAGCATCCCGGGAAGCCATGTCCCGCTTCCCAGGTCTCCAACACGACTCTCACAACATTTCTTGCTTCAAAACTTCCTGGGCCCAGACAAGCTCTGAGGCCCTGCCCTCATAAGCCCTCCCATTCGCTGGTTTTCACATTCCCGTCATGTGCGGCCCTGACAGGGTTCCCCAGGCAAGGCAGTGCATGATGCACGAAGCCTTCACCTTTAGAAGGTGTCTGAGTGTGAATTTAAACATGATGCTGAGAACTGAGGAAACTGACTATCAGGGAAACAGTGGTGTCACACAGGAACTCTCAGACACAATGGCAAAGTGAACGGGCATCTTGCCCCAACAGGTGGATGCAGGTTTTGTGAAGATTTGTGACACTTATATAGCAACCCAACTCATAGCCACCCCACGTGTGTCAGGACAGAACCGCGCTCCCGAGAGTCTTTCATGGCTGATTTTTCGGAAACATTGCCAGGTCTTTCTTCCAAGGTGCCTCCGGGTGGACTCAAACCTTCAACCGCTTTTTAGGAGCCAAGCACTTAACTGTTTGGGCCACCCAGGGACTTACACAATTCTGCTTTAATAGGAAGTTACAAATACAGAGCTGCTGGGTCCTCTTCCAGGGCTGGGGAAGGGGCCGTGCAAAGGCCCTGGGGCTTTCACCTCCTGGCACACTCGCCTCCTCCACCAGACTCCTCCCGGCCAGCAGTCTGTGTTGGGTTCCAGGATGAAAGCCAAGTGACTGACATCATGAAAAGAGGGGTGAACATGTAAAGAGAACAGGGTACACTCCTTCCCAAAGCATTTCTTAAACCCAAGGAAACCCTGCTGACAGACCTTCTAGCTGTTCTGGGCTTTGCAGAAAGCTTTTAGCTCCTTGAGGTCAGGTGACACTGCAGCCAATTAGGAGGGTGGCTCTGACAGCAGCCACTTGTCCACACCTGCCTACCTTCCTAATGACAGACCACATGGTGCAGCCTCTGTCCCTGGGTGTTGCAAATGGTTTACCCTTTGCTATTAACCCAAAGGTTGGTGGTTCAAACTCACCCAGTGGCATCATGGGAGAAAGGTCTGGCCATTTGCTTCCATAAAGATTACAGTCAAGAAAACACTGTGAAGTGGTTCTACTCTGTTCCAGGGGTCACCACGGGTTGGAACTGACTTGAAGAAAATGAGTTTTCTCTCTCTTTTTTACAATGCAGGCTATTTGTCAAAACACCATGGAATCACTTTCTAGAAGGGCAAGAGCAGGACAGGAGAGTCCCCCTGAGTGGCCGGGTTTTTGGACACGTGGCCTGCCTTCTCCTCTCTTCTCTCACAAACACTTGGGGCCCAGAGAACTGGGGTGTGTGACACACTGTTTTGCTCGAAAGGAATGTTTTTCTCTTGTTTGTAAGGAAGAGTCCAGTGTCTGACGCAAAACAGGCTCCAGTCACACCAGTGGGTGTGGCGCAAGAGGGCAGAGCAGGGCTGACAGAGTGGGTGGAGGGACGCGACAGTTCCAGCATCGCAACCTGGAGGCCATTATCCTTCCCACCAGTCAGATTCGTGACAGGCCTCACCCGTCTGGAGCTCCCCTGATCTTTGCAACTCCGGCCAGAGCAAAAACCAAGCCAAACCCGGCGCCACCAAGTCCGTTCTGACTCCTAGCCTGCCTGGAGGACAGAGTGGAACTGTCCCATAGGGTTTCCAAGGCTGCCAGTCTTTATGGAAGTAGACTGCCTCATCTTTCTCTGGTGGGGTGGCTAGTGAGTTCAATGTGCCAAGCGCTTTAACCACTGCACCACCAGGGCGCCTTGCAAGAGGGCTGCTTTTAAATACAAAAATAATGTCACTCCTGGGGACCCCCTGTGACAGAGAACTGCCCCATAGGGTTTCTAAGGCTGTCATCTTCACGGAAGCAGATCACAGGTCTTTTCTTCTGCGGAGCCGCTGTCATTCTGGTGTGACAGCCTCTTGGGAGAGGGTTGCCCTGCTCCCCTCCTGGGATTACACTGGCCCGTCCCCAGGCAGTTCTGCTGCTGTGGAATGCACAAGAGGTGGCTGCGGAGAGCTGGGGACACCCGTAAACTCGGGCCACTCGGAGCAGTCTCTGCAATTCAGGCTAATCAAACACTTGACGGTGACAGAGGTTCGCTGGCCACGTCTGCAGCTCACCGACGGGTTCCTCCTGGGACAGAAGCCACTTTCTCCCGAGGGTTCCCGAGGGGGGCTGGAATCTCCACAGCTGCAGGCCACCAGCCTCTCCTCGGATGCACGGTGTTTCGAGGGGCTGGGGTGGTCCCCAAATAGCTGGGAAACAATGCTTTGGGCTCGCAGGCGGAGGGAGGAACAGAGAAAACACGGCGAGCTGTGGGCGGGGGGCATACTCCCAAGCGTGGGACCGCCCCCTCTGACGGGTAAACTGAGGCCCGGGGAGTTCCCTGAGGTTCGGGGAGGCGGGAAGGCCCTGACCAATGACCAGGCTCCAGAGGTCACAGCCCACCCTCGTGGCATTCGAGTGCCGCCCCCAGGGCAGCGCCGGGTGCCTCCCGATTCCCCAAGCCGCCCCGCGGCCCCGGCCGGTTCCCATGGCAACCGGAAAGCCGGCCCTCGGTACCCGGATCCGCAGACTCGTC